GTTGAGTGATACAACCATTATGTGATCTGGTGGTCCCAGTAGATAGCCTATTTTTGTTGAATCCTCAAGTTGGCAGAAGGGATAAGGAATCTCTCTGAGCTTTCTTTTTATTTTTATCTTATATTTATTTTATGTGTATGCTTATAGTTGTGTATATATGGGGTTTTAGACAGGGTCTTGCTATGTCACTATTTTCCTGCCTCAGCCTTCCAAGTCTTAATATCATTATGTCTCTATTATGTAATAGAAACTCATGAAATACTGGGTTGTTGGAAACATCATGACGAAATAAATGCCGAATAATCTGGTTTTGCCTTTCTGAGTATCCTAGTTCACCATTTGACATTTAATGTGCTCATCATTCAAAGTCTTCTATGTGCTAGTCACTTTGTAGACTCTTAGAGAACAGTGATGAAAATACATTTATGCATAAATTATGCTTCATCACCTAAGCGAAATGCAGCTTTTGAAAGGTGGAATTAGTATTTTTCTAATTTTTAATTCTTTCTTGTGATCTCTTGCTACAACTTAAATACTGAAGGTACATAAAACTCCAATTTGATAAGAAGCAAAGTAGACTTTTTTTTCACCGTTCTTATTGAACTTTTCTTCATAATACCTGTCTGAATTTTTAGACTCAAGTTTTATTTAAATAATGACTCAGCCACTCAGCCTATTTCTCTACTATGTCTTGTCTTACTTTTCTATTCCATTCATGCTTTTTCCCTTTGGAAAAACATCTCAACTCAATACAACATTAAATTTAGACCTTTGGAAACTGATGCCAGAGTAGCAAATGCAACTGTTGTTTTCATTTTTGTAAGGTGTTGTGTCTAAACACTTCACGGTTCTAGATCTCTAATTCGATTAAGGACCATGTTTTTTTACTGTTTTTCATTCAAAATTATGTTAAGGAAGACCTATTACCAAGTAAATATTGGGTGATCAAAAAAGATATGATGTGTTTTTTTCTATGCCAAAATGTGTCATGATTTTCCCAATGACCCAATATTTTATGAGTTTCTATTATATGCTGGTCTGAGACACAATGATATTAAGACTTTACTTTTATCCTCAAGAAGCTTTTTCCAGGGCTGGCAGGTGGTGTGGTGGTTAAGGGTGCTAGACTCCCATATGGCTAACCACGGCTTGAGTCCTGGACCTGGCAACTTGCTTTCCCACTTTCTGTTTCTCTCTCTCTCTCATTAAATTAAAATAAACAAATAAATAAATAAATAAGTATAAATAAAGTTAAATAAAATATTTTTTTTTAAATAAAGAAGCTTTTGTTCTTAAAAAAGACAATAAACTGACAGATAGGTAGAGACAGGGTGGTTAGAAAAGCTTCGTGAGGAGGGTCATGCCTAAAAGAGTGTTCAGTGGAGGGCAGGATGTCAGCCACATAGAAAGGAAGGAAGATATAAAGGGTAGCACAAAGAAACAAAGAGGCCATGAACAGAATTTTCCCCAGGAAATTATCAACAATACCCTACTGAGGAAGCATTCATGTGAAGACATGGACATGAAGCATGCCATGAAGATTGCCCTGTGCCATGTTGAGGAGCTTGGACATTTTTCAAGAGGAACAAAGGGTTGGAGTCATGGCCAGGTTCTAAGAAGACAGTGACATAGTCAAATTTATTTTTGTTTTATTTATTCCAATATGTTTAGTTTTTAAGTTACTATTTTTCCAAGGGATATAATTATAGGTGATACCACATTTTAGAGAGATAGTTCCTTCGCACATTAAATTTGTATGAGGATAACATTAAAAACCATTTGTTTATTACTTAGATTGCTTTTGGTGATATAGAAGATAAAGTGCCAACATTTTTCAAGGTGCAGTATGAAGTAATTACTGATGAAAATCTACATAACAACATTATTGTCTCATCTATATCACTGGAGATCAGTAAATTATATTTGACAAGAGGAAAGATAGTAAATTTAACTCATGTGATGCAGAGCATTTTGTGACCATAATCTTTTTATATTATTACAATGAGAATTTTTGGCACAAAGAAATACTTTCCATTTTAAGGTAAAAGGTTGGGGGGGGTCTTATTTAGTTAGTTAGTTAGTTAGTTTTGCCAGAGGGCTAGAGGACCTGCATGTTCACCAGAGAGAGACAGAGGAAGAAAGAGAGAATGCACCCTCCCTCCACCACATAGCATGGTCACACTGCATACTCTTCACCTCTATCTCTTCCAACTTTCAAGGTTTTGCACATGCACACACATGTGCTCAGAATGTTTTCAAGCTGCCTGTCTAGGACTTAAATCACACAGTCAGCCATATGGGATTCAGCCAACTTAACCACCACGCTACTGGCTGGTCCAGGGTTCATATTTATATTCACTTGTTCTGTTAGCTTTCTGTTTCTTCAATGAGATTTGATGTTGGAACCCTAATTTTTCCTGGCCTCTTCTGAATATATTCTTAGATTTATGTGATCTTTTTGTTTTTTCGTGTGATCTTTATCCTTGATACTGTTCCTTGTACTACCTTTGTTTCCATGCTTTGACCTGCACCCCTCGACCTTTCAACCCCTCCTTGCCTCTGGGAAGTGAACAGGGTTTTAAGTTCAGAGCCTCTGACTTTTAGTGAATAAGATTTGCATTTGAAAGACATTCTGTCTTTTAGCAAAGAGCTATAAAAGACATATTGGTAGAGTTTTTAAAAACAAATACATTGCTTTCATCTGAAAAGATCTTTTTGAGTTTTAAATGATATTTCCCAAAACAAAAAGATTTATGTATTTGAATTTGAGCAATGATTTGTAGGTAAAATAAGCTAGTTTGTACCAGATATTTAGACTCTTCTCATTTTAATTTTTAAAACTTTTAACTGCTATTGTATGGCTTTCAAACCAAAAAATTCAAATACCCTTTAACCAATGCACACATGTATAAATACTTGTAACTAGTAAAGACATTAATTGTATGAAAATATTTATTAAATTATTTAATATATGCAAAATATCTCGGAATTTTTTGAGAAACTGTTAAAATGTATACCCAATTGCCTTTGCTCTCAGATAATTTTCAACATAAAAGTGGAGAAAATAAATGATAAAATAATAATTACATAGGATAGATAAGTTTGTAGCTTCTAAGAGTTACGTATTAAGTGTACTGGGTTCAGAGAAAAGGGAGATCAGAATCAGACCAGTAGATCCAAAAGGTAGAACTGAAAAGGTGTTAATTGAGTTAGATTTTGCCAACACATAAGAGACGTTTCTAGGGGACCAGCAGTTAGTGTAATGGCTATGTTGCTGGACTCCCATGTAATCGACCGTGGTTCGCGTCCCGGACCAGGTGGCTTTAACTCACGCCGGGCGCGTGTGCGGGTGAGCCCAAGATCCTGAGAAGAGGATGGAGGAGAAGGGATTGCAGCGTGGTCATTCCCCCCTGGGGGGTGATTTTTCGCTTTCTGTCTCTCTGTCTCTCTCTGTCTCTCTGGCGAGTGCACACGCTCTATAGCAAAAAAAAAAAAAAAAAAAAAAAATCTCTCCGGAAAAAAAAGAAAGAGACATTTCTAGAAAACATATGGTGCAAAGCTGAGAAATTTTAACTGACTGTAGCAAAATGGCAATTTGCCCAGTTTAACTAGAAGGCATTTTGAAATATGTAAGGCAACAGAGGAAAGGAAGCGTGGAAATTAAGCTGGAATCAGAACACAGAGGGCTGGAATATCAGCCTAAGCGGTAGATATTTAATTTAATATGTACTGTAAAGAACAAAAATTTCTGAGCAAACAAATGACCAGTTGTACACACATGAAAAAGATTAATGTAGCAGTGATGTTTTAAATAGTAGAGAAAACAGGCTGAGGTCTGGAAATCAAACGAGAGGGAGAGTGCAAATATAGTGAGAAGAATAGGTCAGGGTGATTGGGCAATGGACAAGGAAGCAAGGGTATGGGTATGAGATGTATTGCCAATGTGAACTGTTAGTATTTGGTGATTGGATGGATAGGCAAAGAAGGAACAGATTCCAAAAAGGACTAAAATTTCATATTGCAAATGACTGGAGAAAATGACTAAACATTTACAGAGACTTTAAAAGAAAATGATTTAGTGATGGAAGCTAGCAATTTCATTACATTCCTTACCAGTGGGGCCAGAAGATACCATGTAACTTGTAAAAAAAATAGTATTGATGGCAGATGCTTAGGGCTCAAGCTGACAGGATTAAAGTATGAGATGAAATTTTAAATAAGAAAATAACTTCATAGAGATGGTATTAATAGACAATGGCTCAGTTTTAAAAGTCAAAAGAAGAGAATTTTCGAAGCCACATAAGAAGTACCACCTACAGCTCAAGGATGAAAGGATTTAACAATGAACAGCTCTTGATAAATTTTAAGGAAACAATTTTGGTAAGGAAGTGAAGATCAAACCACAAGGTAATAATTATGTAGCAATTGTTTGAGAAGGTTAGGAAGGTAGTAGAAGAAAGGAGAGCAAAGCAGGCTAAGAAATCTGAACAATCGGAAGTCTTCTCTTTTGGTGTAGGAGTGACCTGAACATTCTAGAAGTCAGATAAAAGACTTCTAGGGAGGAGTGGAAAGAAGATACAAGGCAAAGGGGTGGTTATCAGTATTGCAAAGAGTTTCGATGAGATGATAAAACTGAACTGAATTGCTTGTAACATATATACGAGAGGAAAAGTAGAAATACAATAGAAGACAAGGAAAAAACAGGAAGCTGGAAACTAGAACGATATAAACAATGAGGCCACAAGAAGAAATTTCGAGAACTAGATATATATTAAATAAAACAGTTCTTGGAATCAGAATTAGAGAAATGATTTTCCTATACTTTTCTGTTAATGATTAAAAAACCATGAGAGAAATGTAAGGAAAACTAAAGGGCGAAAGGTATTTTAACATTTACTTCTGATTTTTTTCTTTTGATGACTTCATGATGTGGCCTTGAGAATTTTTCACCAAAAAGAAAATCAACAATGTTTAAGGATATTGAAGAATATCATTCTTACCTCTCTCAGAGGATCATTGAGTTCACTGAGAATATTTTCCTCATCAAAGATTTTGCCTTGGTATCTGTGTTCATAGTAATCGTGTATTTTCTGACGCATATCAGCTGGTAACTTATGGAATGACATGTATTGTTCCACTTGCTTATACTGTAAGAAAAAGAAAAAAGAAATTAGAAAACACATTTAGGTTACCCCTACTCTGCATCACATACTGTGTACGCATTTTATTGTGGTCAGCATTTCCTGTAGTGGCTAGATGGAGACACAGAGGTAAAAGGGTGAAGAGGTCTGCCAGGTGAACCCAAATGGAAAGGTTTAGGTTCACATCCATGTACCTCTCTGAAAATACCAGGCTCAGAGCACCACCACAACTGGGGCCAGCTGAGGCGGGTGGTTACCTGGTGTATAAAGACCCTGTTGAGGATACCTTTCTCTCTCTCTTCTCCTGTCTCTCTTGGTAATGGAGGAAGTAAATAGATTTAACAATATATACTTCCTGGGACCAGCAGTTAGAGTAATGGCTGTGTCACTGAACTCTCATGTAGCCAACTGTAGTTGGAATCCTGGACCCGGTGGCTTAAACTCACACTGGGCACGTGTGCGTGCGTGCCCAAGATCCCAAGAGGAGAATGGAGGAGAAGGGATTGTGGCATAGCCATCCCCCCGGGGAGGGGGTGATTTCTTGCTTTCTGTCTCTCTGTCTCTCTCTGTCTTTCTGGCGAGTGCACGTACTCTATAGCAAAAACCTCTAAAATATGTGTATATATATATACGTATATACATATATATATATATAGATATAGATAGATACACACATATAAACATATATATATATGTATATGTATCTATCTATCTATCTATCTATCTATCTATCTATCTATCTATATCTATATATATATATACACACACACATATACTTCCTGTAGTGAATTGAGATATGCAAAGGAGGAATGTATAAAAAAAGTTCAGAATTAATTTAAAGATGTAACTCCAAAACACAGTGACAAGTCAAAGAAATAAAATTATGATGCTTTTTTTTTTATTTAGTTCTAAAAAAGTATGAAGTTGCTGTTTGACCCTTCATTTGGAAGAACTTCATAATTCTGGCAAAAGGTTTTATGTTGGACCTTCTTGCAAAAAGATCAGAACCAAATAAAATTTTGAATCTAGGGACACAAAGATAGGTAGTTATTTGCAGATTATACTTGAGTGACACAGATGTCCTATAAAGTACTGAGAACTGAGAGAATATGCCTGGCTTCTAGTTTAAGATTTAGTTTAAACTTACGTTAAGTTTAAGATTCATCAGAGTGAAACTAGATTCACATACTTTTACAGCCAAAAGTTAACTGAGACTTGCAAAATTCATTTAAGCAATTCCTTCTTAAATTTGTTTATAAGTGCTGGGGTGGGGTTGTTTTTTAGAGATGTATGTATTCAGGCTTAAATCCTTAAACCAATCTCTGTGATTGACTCCACTGATACATCTGGTATTTTTTTTTTTTTTTTTTACATTCACACACACTTTAAAAATAAAATAACATCTCTCACAATTGAACAAGAGTATAGGAGCATGGATGCTATCTGGGAATCTACTAGGGAAAAAAAATTTCAGGCCTCACCTCAGACCTATAGCATCAGATCCCCATACACCTCCAGGCTATATAAAAGGTGTATATAACACATAAAAAAGTTTTGTGTTTAGCTTTGAGTGCCATCCCCAGGATATCTCATTATGTATATATAATCATTCCAACCCCATTCTCCATACAAAATCTGAAACCTAAAATTCTTTTGATCCCAAGCATGTCAGATAAGGAATATTCAACCTGTACCACTTTGTCATGAGACTTCATTTATTTGGTAATCAAGTGTCCCCCAAAGTATTTAAAGTCAGCATTTCTAGGTACATATCTCTGGATTACATATAGCATTTTGAATTTAAGCACCAATGCTATTACTATCATCGTGTGTAAAAACACTTGAGAAGTACTAGGTTAATTTTCCCAGAAGAGCTCAAGTTCTGCATGCCTTCCCAACAACAAAATGCTTTGAGAGCCCCCCCACCTGTAGAGACCTGAGACTCAGTCTCCTTAGTTCCTCATGCAACTGCTCATAGAACAGAAGCATCACTGGTTTCTCTACCAGATCATTATGTGGATAAAGATGTTTTGCACCTGGACTTGGTTCTGAAGACGCCTAAGTATCTGGGTGTTACTCTTGTCCAAAAAGAGGACAGTAAACTATTTCATATACTTAAAGGGTCTGAAACCACTAGAGATCCCCAAAACTAGCTTGTGTGCACTAATAGTTTGCAACTAGCCTTGCAAATTTGACCTGTCTGACTTTTCTCTTTTCTTTTCTTTTCCTTTTTTTTTTTTAAGTTTTTGCCATAGAATGCAAGTGCTCACCAGAGAGAGACAAAGTGAGAAATCACCCCCTGGGGGGGGGAGTGGAGTCGGGGTGGTCATGCCACAATCGCTTCTCTTCCATTCTCGGGATTTTTGGGCAAGCACGTTCACACGTGTCCAGAATGAAATCCACTGGTCCAAGACTGGCCATGTGGGAATCCAGCACCTTAATCACCACAGCACCTGCTGGACCCCCTGGATTGACTAGTTAAAGAACCACTGAGAGTTCAGTCACTGAGCTCTCAGAAAATTAAGATTTCTTGCACAGACTTTGACAGTTTGACCCAAAGATCAGCATGATCCAGTTGCCCAAAGATTGACCCCAGGATAAACATGTACTATGAAAAGGCTGTAGACATCTGATGCCTGTGCACGTTCTCTTTTCCCTGCAGCATTGTATTTGTATGTTCTACCTTGAAATCAAAGCCTCATGTGAGTATACTCGGTGGAGTCTAGTGATCTCTAAAATATGCATACATGAGAAATCAATAAAGTAGCTAGAACAACAGGACTACCGTAGTTCTGACGCTCACAACTACGCATCAATGGAAGTGTTAGCAGTTCTGGCCAAATAATGGCTTCGCCTTTCATTAAAACCAGCGGGTGTCAAGTCAATTCTTATTTTCTTCAACATGTTGCTTGTCTACATACTGCTTGGAGGAGTGAGAATCTGCCATCTTAACCAAGATACTGAGTTCTACACATCTCTTTTCTTTGCCATGCAGCTCAGGGGCATGAGAGCAGCATTAAAAGAAGTTTTTTCTTAATTGGAAGAAAAATCGTCCTATCTGCTCCATTTTCATCTCTACAATCGGAAAATGAAGTTTTAATGCACTAAATACAAATATTACATAAACAGTTATTTTTAATGTAAAATAAGGGTTGGCTGAAACTATTTTTCTTCGTACAAGAAACATAACTTCTTTCTATATCAGTTTTATTCCTCTGTAATAAGAGTGTTAGACTGAATGTTCTTCCTGTTCTTTCAGACTAAAATTTTAAAGTTCTTGTCATTTGCACATATTAAGTTAGATTTCTGAGTCTATATTACTTATTTTAACTACTCATTGAGTCATAGTCATTACTGATCTAGGAAGTATTAAATGAAAGCTATATGCCAGCTCTTCTTGTTGCAAAACCAGCAGAATTACCTGGAAACTTTTTGAAAATGCACATCTACCCTGTCTACCCCAGGTCTACTGAATTGAACCCCTGCATTTGAGATCGAGCAGTCTGTACTTTACCCCCTTCTCTACACTGACATTTCATACCACTGCTATTTGCCAAGTACTGTGTTATCTTAGGACATAAGAAAGGATGTTCAAATGAGAGTAGAACAAAAATAAATTTAGTTTTTGGCAAGTTAAGTTCAAGACGCACATGGCACATTCTAATGCTTATATATAGGTCAAGCACATGGAGAAGAAAGTATGTATATGTCATCAACGATTAAGGGATCACTAAGGGAAGATGTGTCAAATGAGTGAAAAAGACAAAAATAAAACATGTATTTTAATAGCAGTTGAGCCATGGGTGTTGATTAGGTTAAGGGCACTAATGATAACCAGGAAGGCATGAGAGCAAAACCAGAATGCCATGATTAGCAGAATCTAAAGAATAAAGATTCAAGCAGGAGGGGCCAGCAGGTGGCATACTGTTTAAGATGGTGGACTCCTATATGGTCGACCACAGGTCAAGTTCCAGATTGGCAACTTGAAATTCACATATATTCCATGTGGGGTAAATTCTCTGTACAAGCTAAATGATGTATAGTGATTGAATGTATAGCAATAATAATAACAAATTTTTAGAAAGCAACTCATGCAGGGCTTGTGTACCTCCTTGCCCAAAATCCTGAGAGGCTAATGGGAAAGGAGGGATTGCATCCTGGCCATGCCCCATGGGGAGTGATTTCTTGCTTCTATCTCTCTGCCTCTCCAGCAAGCCCATGCACCCTAAAACAAAAATCCCTCTCTCTAAAAAAAAAGATTCAAGTGGGAGTGAATAAAGAGAGGATATTCTTACTTTTTTTTTTCTTTCTTTTCTTTTTTTTGGGAGAGGTTTTTGCTATAGGGTGCGTGTGCTCACCAGAAAGACAGATAGAGACAGAAAGCGAGAAATCACCCCCCCAGGGGGGATGGCCACACCACAATCTCTTCTCTTCCACTCTCCTCTCAGGATCTTCGGCACGCACGCACATGCGCCCGGCGTGAGTTTAAGCCACTGGGTCCAGGACTTGGACAGCGGTTGACTACATGGGAGTCCAGCGACATAGCCATTACGTAACTGCTGGTCCCAAGAGAGGATATTCTAAGAAAAGAAGTACCAGACAGTGCCTAATGAATTGGGAAGTTAGGTAGTAATCTTTGTTAAAATAGAACACACCAAAAATAGGAGTGATTTCCTTTTGTCTGCTTTCCTCATACCTAATAAGACTTGAAAGAATGAATGAAAACATCACTTCCATGCAATGAGAAGAAATAAACTGTGAAGAAGATACCTAGTGGTACTTTGAAAGTCAAATAAACTAGAGATTAGAAGTTATAAACGGGAAAACTCAAAAATGATAAAATGGCCGTGCTTCTATTAATTGTAATATATATCCTAGGTGAAGTGACTTGATACATTTAATGTCAGTGACAGATTCTGAAAAGCAAGGATGCAAATACATTTATTTCTTAAGCAAATAAAATCAAAATTTTATCATATCACATCTAAAAAGTTCTGAGTGTATAA